GAAGAGAAAAACGGAGGGCCATTACCAAAGAGTTCTGGGGAACAGAGGGGTAGAAAGAGAATTGGCATGATAAGTATCGAAGATGACACGCTTTATATAGACGGAGGAAATGATTCGCGTGCACGCTTTTACTGCTAAGGCGTTTCGAAAAGCAATTAAGACGCCTCGAAATCGGTCATAACGTTCCAACTGCCAGCGGTTTCTAAACCATTCAAAAATTTAAATTTTAGAAATATTATGCCGTTCTCATACCTGAAAGAAAAAAATTAAACTAAATTAAACGTTGAAAGATGAAAGAAATAAAAAATAAATTTTTGAATAGAAGTGCGAAGGGGGTATGTGAGCATTATGCGGCAATTCTCATACCCCATCGCATAACTGAAATAACTGAAAGATGAAAGAAATAAAAAATAAACTTTCGAGTAGAAGTGCGAAGGTGGTATGCGAGCAATATGCCGCAATTCGCATACCCTATCGCATAACTGAAATAACTGAAATATTAAAGAAATAAAAAAATAAATAAATAATATACTTTCGAGTAGAAGTGCGAAGGGGGTAGCGAGCAATATGCGGCAATTCGCATACCGCCTCGCATAACTGAAAGATGAACGAAATACGAAAAAACTTATTATGCACCAATTCTGCGAATAATACGCGACCTTGGTATGTCGCGGAATAATTTTTTCGACTAATAATCGCAGTTCATTCGCCTAACAAAAATAATTATTTAATGGGCGACGGACCGCGATTGACCGAATCGTACATCGAATTTCCGCATATTCGTCGCATACTTTAACTCATAATTTTCTCGCCCTTGCTGATACCGGTCGTCTATCTATCGTATAGTTGTTCGCATATCTTTTCGTATTTTGTGGGGTGAAAAACTTAGCTTTTTGTTGGACGGTATGAAAAACTTAGCAGGACTTCAAAATGGGATGAAAATAACTATTTCCTCTAAAAATGTATTTGGTTGCAATTCGCCAAAAAGGTCTTTTCAACTCATAAGTTTAAATAGTGTCTCATGTTCTTACTCTTTATTTTTTACTTTTTATTAAAAAAATACTTATATGTTCATTAATTATATAGAATAAGAATCCTATTATATTTGACAGTTTTGCTATGGAGCCATCAGATGGCTCGACTTATAGAGTCAGCCACACTTATTCAATAATGTATTGAGACGTGTCCTACAATAAATGCAATTTGGATAGGTGTCCCACATTAAGTGGTAAATAGCTCCATAAGAAAACCATTTGATAGTTCCGTAGAATTTTTGTAATTTATTTGTATTTATTTAAATAATCAGATAATATTGTATGATTTACTTGTTGCATATAAAAAGTTGGTTATACTATGGGGTCAAATGTTACACTGTTCCAACAACTTTCATATTTTGTTTACACGAATGGAAGAAAAGAAGTCAATAAAATAGTAATTTATTATGCAACAATTTCCTGTAATCTCACGGCTACAACACAAGACTTTATATCCCCTATATCCCCTATATATAATTTCAGAATGCGC